CGCGCGTGCGCACACCTGCCGGCCAGAGCCGCGGCCGCCGGGGCGCAGGTCCTCGCGCGTCCGAGCTGGGGCGGGCAGCGCGGGACACCGACCCGGACACGCCTCCGCCTGGGCCGCTGACCCGGTCCCCCGTTGCCCGAGGGCGAAACTGTGGCGCCCCGCCCGCGCAAGCAACGCGGCAACTCGCCCTCGTGCGCGCGTCCCGCCCTGTCCCGGGCGCCGCAGACAAAGCGCGGGTGGGGTGACAGTGCGGAGCTGGCGGTTGCCTCTAGATAATCTCGGGTGGGCGGGGTTGCCGGCCGCCAGTGGGGTCATCACGGAGGGAGTCGGGGGATATTCTGTACCCTCTTTGAAGATTGCTTTGCAGTGCGGGAAGATCATTGTAACAGTGTGTTCATTTCAATCACTCCTTCGGACTGCATTTGGAAAATGGCTACATTGGAGAATTAAAGAACTAAATTGTAGACTTAAAATTTAGCCAGAACAGCACCAAACAAAGCCTTCTGCTACCTAAGGAGAGGGCAGAGCAGCGGCGCATAAATGAACAAACCTAACAGAGCAGTCCCAGTTCTGTCTGCCTGAGGCAAGTCTGTTTTATCAGATGCACAACGGAGATAACCAAAGCCCAGTCCAATGAATTCTTAAGAAGTTACTTTATTAGAAGTTCAAACAATGAATTCATCTAACAAGAAATCTATTCACTGCTTACAATTCCAACCAAGTTCAGTGTTCTGATATCAAACCACAACAGTGAAGAAGACCTGTCAGTTTCCCTCCAACAGTTAAAAATCCACAGCTAAAAGTTGTGGGAGGCAATGTGACGTTTACTTGAACAGATACAGTCCAAAGCCAGGCATAGCACGCGTGCAATCCCAGCTCTTGAGAGACCAAGGCAGGAGGCCTGGACCTCACAGGGAGGCCTTGACTCTCAACTCCCCTTCCCTTGCCCCCAGAAAGTGACAATGCACATTAAAATGCTACACAGTACTTTAAAGGTCAAGCCACTTTGAACAAATCAAGGTTAGTATTAAGATTTAAGTCAACTGTTAGGACTAAAATAGGTATCATAAAACCTTGTAGTTCCACAGTCACATGTCACAAATCTACAAATTTTGTGCCTCATTTCTCTCACCTGTGACAGTAAGATTTACGCTTGAAACAACTGTTTGGGCGCTTGCTTCTCTTAGGTATCTTGACAGAAGTTTCCTGATGGTGCTTGGGGCAACTTCAAGGAGTGAAGACAGGAATTATACATGATTTTATCATGTGGACTTTAATTTCTACTTAAACATTTATTTCCATGTCCTGATTCAACATGTGATTCTTCTGAAGGGTTTTCAAGAGGTAGAAGGTCTTACTTTTCCATGTATAAAATTGCTAGTACAGTAAAATTACTAATACAACCTAACATCAAGGCCTTATGTGTCAGCTACTGTAACCAGCTTCCACATTCAACCCACTGATTTCTTAATGAGTTATGAGGTAGCTACCATTATTTCCTTCATTTTTGAGACAAGGAAACTAAATTTCTAAAACCAGCTAGTGGCATAACTGGTATCAGAACCTACTTAATTTGGTTCCTGAGCCCATGTTACATAAACTTTTAATTACTATACCATTCGTCTCATTAATGCACTTTTGGTCATAGATGCAATTATCTCTCATAGGACAGGGGGACCTAGCAAATAAAACACCCAGCTTTCACTTATCTATTTTTAAAAGTATTTTTATTGAAATATAATATACAGTGCCTAGTTAAGTGTCAATTTAGTACCTTTATTCCATAATGTAAAGAAAATGTTTAGAATCTCTTCTGGGATTAAAAAGATTTCATGTGCACAATTTAGAATACAAT